GGGGAGGGGGGAGGGGAGGGGGGAATATTACCAATGGACAGAACAATTTGTGAAGTGTTCTAGACTTCTAGAACAGAGCCAGCCAGAGTGCGTGAATGACATAGAGCATACTTACAGTCCACGAAGGAATTCTCAACTTGGACGAGGAATCATAGGTGTCGCTGTTCAGGTCATACTTGTAAGTGGGCGGGAATCTGATATCTGGTTCAGTGAATCCATGGAATACTTCATCTGGGAGATAAGAATCCTTATTAGTGGATGGATGCATGGGAGAAGCTCAAGAAGGTCAAAGGCCCCTTTCTTGCTCTAGTTTCTTTTTGATTTGTCTTTTTTTCCTTTTTTTCTTCCTCTCTCCCTCCCTCCGTCACTTTCTTTGTTGCTTGCTTGCTTGCTTCCTTTTTTCCTTTTTTTCCTTCCTATCTCCCTCCCTCCCTTTCTTTGTTGCTTGCTTGTTTGCTTCCTTTTTTCTTTTTGTTCCTTCCTTCCTTCCTTCCCTCCTCCTTTCTTTCCTTGCTTCCTTTATCTGCCAATTCCTTCCCTCTAACAGCCCTTTCATTCTTCATTCTGTATATTCATTCCCTTCTTTATATTCATTGGGTTCTTCACACTATTAGTTTACCTTTTTCCATGAGTTTTGTCATCTGATCCTGAGCTAGAAGTTCCTACCGCAAACAAATGACATAAATCAGTTATAAAATACCACAAAACCAGGCAAAGAAAATAACTCTTCATAAATAGTTTACCTTGAATTCATTATCATTTTGCTCCTGGTACTGAACCAATAGTTCATCTACCTTTTCTCGTGGCAAATCAACTCGAAAGTTAAAATCACCAAGCCAGAAAACACGATCAAATCTATCAGTTACATCAGGACCTACAAAGGTAACATTCACATGAGATTAGCTTTGCTGTGTTAAATTAAAATCAACCCTTGTAGGGATAAACATGGCAAGCAAGATCAAGGTTCATCCATGATTTATGATAAATAACCTTGTTATATCCTCTCTAAGTAAACTAATAAAACAAAAAACAAGCAAAGTTCCATAAAATATTTCTGCATTAGTATGAACATTCCTTATGGAATAGGGAAAACTAATGGGGAGAGGGGTGAGGGGGTTTTGACACTTTTTATTAGGCTGGGGCACAGGTAGCCCAGGCTTGCTGCTAGTGTTGAATAACTGAATCGATCGAGAGGCAGACAGATAGACAAAGATTATATGGGTATCATATGGGTGCTTTTGAATCCTCATTTTTACGCTTTAAAATAATTAAAATCAAATAAAACTCCCACCGTGTGTTATTGCTATATTGAACAGCCCCATGGTTTAATTACAGCTCATTTCGTTCGGGTTTAGATGAGGCTTCCCCACCACACACTAAAGACCCATATGATACCCATATAATCTTTGTCTATCTGTCTGTCTCTCGATTGATTCAGTTATTCAACACTAAGGGTAAGCTACCTGTGGCTGGGGTTGAGGTGGGTAGGATGGGATACAGACACAGGACTGTAATACTTTCTGCATCAACATATCCTAATTTTGTTTCAGGGGGTAACTAGTTCACTTACGGTTATCAGTCCAAGGTTTCTCGACACTTTGTAGATTCAGAGATTTGCAGATTACATTGTAGTCATTCACACGGTCCTTTGACTTCCCCTCACCAGCTGTACAAGATAAATATCATAGGGATTTTGTCACCGTAGCAAATTATATAACACTATGTAGGTCACTGATAAACAAGTACAAATAAGCATGGGAAGCACGGGTGGGGTAGCAGTGAAAATGCTCGACTCTCACCAATGCGACCTGGGTTTCAGTCCCACTGAGCTCGGTGTTGTATGTGAGTTGAGTTGCTTATTGGTTCTCTCCTGTGCTTCAAGGGTTTCCCGGGTTCTCCGGCTTTCCTCCCTCCGCAAAAATCAACTTCTAAATTCCAATTGGAATCCAGTGGAAGAAGAGCCACTCTGTGGAATCCACTGTTAATCCCATTATTATTAACATCATTATCATCATCATCATCATCATCACCATCCTCATCATCATCATTACCACCATCATCATCACCATCATCATCATCACCATCATCATCATCATCATCATTATCATCATCATTATTATTATTACATACTTACAGGTTAGATGTGAATTGATGAATAAGAATGAAGTTCCAAAAAGGTTGAATGAAAAAGCAAGACCTCCCTAGAGAGAAGAAAAAAGGCCAAAATCAATGAATTCTTTTTAAAATAATATAAATACCTTCCTGCCATTAAAATGAGTTAAAGAGATGATTTGATGGTATGTGGTCATTTACCTTGGTTTTAATCATGTGACCTACTCTGGTTGCAACAGTGTCTTGATTGACAGCTGAAGATAGATAATATGTAATTATCAAATGCCTGCATTTTTTATAGATCAATGCTACGCAATCTACTAATATTCCTACTCAAGAAATCAATTTGAATTATAAAAAAACATTAATATTTCGTTTATCATTTTTGATTATTTCGGTGGGATTACATAATTATATATATAAAAATATATTTTACAACCATCACTCCCCGTGATTTTTAAATTTTGAAATAGTGAGAAAATTTATTTTTGGTCATTTGATGGTTGTCTTGCCTCATAAAAATTATGCCTTTGGCCTAGCTTCCTCAATAGGTATCTCTCTTTGCTTTGCTTTTCAAAATAGTTTTATTTATTGACATGCTACTGTACCTTCGTCATCCCCCTTCTTCCCCTTTATTACACAGAGACCCTAAACACCAGGCCAAGTTGCGTACTAGCTATCTTACAGTTATTGTTCTTGATATAACCTACCTGAGCAAAACCATACAATTTCTCTTCTCACATAAACAGCCATATGTAGAACACCAAAGCTACTGGAGTACATAAGGACATGGCTGGGGCCAAGGGTCTCTTGTAGCCTGATCTCCCATTCTTTTCTGAAATGATTAAATATCAAACTCAGTCTTAGGGATGGAGAGATTTAGAGATGTTAAAAACCTGGCAAATGATTTCAAGTATTTGGATCAAAACCTGAGTAAGTGAATTCTTAGGTTGCATGTTAAATCATAGCAGCCATGTTGGTGCTATTTATCAAAAGATTTCTCATTAACATCTATTTTTAATTGCACCAAGATAGCCACTGTGTTGTTGTCTTTTGATTCTCTTGGGAATGCTTGCAACCCATCAACAGAAAGTGTGTGTGTGTGAGCTGTGTGGCCATAAAGCATGTACATTCTATTACAGGACCTCTCTGAAAAACACCTTCGTGATAAGAACTTTCTGTATAAACATTGTTATTACCATCATTATTATTATTATCCAAACCAATCAGAAAGCAGGATTTATATTACAGTTATTCTATAATATTAACCAATTATAAAGGCAATGATCAGCTAGTTACTTCAAGAGTTTACCTGAGTGGAGTGCATTCTTGTAAACCAATGACATAAATATCTTGTAAGAAATCTACATTTTCTGGCAGAAGAAAGTCATCTAAATATCCAGGAATTTCCTAACATGGAAAAGAAATAAGATCAAATAATACTGACTTTTTGGGTGCAACAGTAACCTTTAAAACATCTCCCTCTTTAAATGTAGTTTAAGCCTTGCTTAGATATGGCACAAATGTGGTAAGGGTAACTTTGTATGATTGGGAAACCATTTTGCAAAACTTCTAGTCAAACCGTATTCTACTGTAACTGTACCTAAACCTTAGACTATTTTTGTTGCATGAAAACAATAGGAAGCCATTTCAGCGTCTTGACATGTCATGCATTCATCGTCCTGCATGTCCATACAACATTTTCAACTCATAAAAAAGCTGCTTGCTTCATATACATTAATTTCTCAGCGATCATAATCACCTTTTCCTCGTGCATATTCCATGTCGCTACAAAAACTCCAACTTTACGATCAGGGAAATAATTCAACATTTCTTCCTGCAGAAAGTTCATATTCCTCAGCCGAACTTTCTGAGCTGCGACTCTTGGTAGAAAACTAGACTGTGAGGCATAAGAAAAATTACTTCCCTCTTTTCTTGATATATTGGAATCTGAAGCATATCTATGATCTGTTGCGCTGTCTAAATCTCTTCTTAAATAACTTTTGAGATGATTCTGAAATTCTGGGACTGACTCATAAGTTGCAGACATGATAGAGGACATATTTTCATATGTTCCAGTTGAATTTAATGTAAAGTTCTTTGGTATGCTTGGTAGTGTAGCATCAGGATAACGTCTAGTTAATAATTCTTTCGCTATACGTTCACTTCGTTCTTTAACTTCTTGGTCACTTGCCGAGGACGAAGACAATGTAGAGTCATCATCGTCATCACCACTTACATTTGTGAAACTATCACCCGATGATGACAATTCATCATCACCATCATCATCTTTCTTATTATTTTCCAGTATAACAGCATTATTATCATTATCTTTAAATTCCGTTCTTGTTTCTAGCTGCATTTCTGAGTTCCCTTCTTTATTTTCCTTAAAATCATGAACAACTTTAAGAGGTTTCAAAATGCTTGGATTTGATCTAGATATATCACTTCTCTTTGTTTCACTCTTAACGTTTTGTTGATAATTCTTAAAGCTGTTTACCAAATCTTTATTTGATTGAATTAAAGGTTCTAATTTTATATTTCTTCCCCTTTGTAGATCTGATCTCGAAGTATCAATTGATCCATCACTGGAACGACGAGGTGGTGTCGATAGAGGCGATACTCTTGAGTTAAACATGTGTTTACGGGAGATTCTCTCGTCTTCTGAGCCAGAAGTTCTTGGCGATTCGCTTCTTAAGCGTTTTTGCCCTCGAAAACGAATCGGTGTTGAACGTCTTGATTGACCTTCTTTCAAAGGAGAAGACGGTGGATGAGGAACAAAACCAGTGACAAAAGGCTCACCAACAAACTGCTCTGTCTTCGAAACAGATGGAGATATTATTGACAGGCCTTTAATCTCATTATTTAAAGCGTTTTCTGAAGATTGCCTTCGAATTCCAAGTCGATTTGGTTGTATTGTAGGTCTGTGAGTCGTTCGCAGATTGTGGTTATAAAACGAATAATTCCCTGCTCCATCCGACATTTCTTCTTTGTAGATCAAAGCTTGAACCTTTAGGATTGAATAATGAACGTCATTATTGAGTCATCCGGAAGGACAGGAGGTTTTATCCGGTAAAATAAAGGGTCAAGTTCTGGTCCGCCATCTTTGTTTATTTGCTATGGGATAAAGAAACTAGGACTTGAAATGAAGGGACAAAAATAAATCCTACTGGGTAGGGGATGTAAACAAAAATAAAATTTATGCATACATCCCGAAAGGCATTCCAAAATTCTATAACTTAATGAAATATAGATTTAAATAGTATGTTTGTTTAGGACTGAAGTAAGAAAATGTGGACTTTTAGAAATACATTGGTGACCAAGCTGCATGTTTTAGAACAAATTTAACCCTCCCTTCCCATAGTTTATTCTATTGCTGCGCAGACTGTCGTGCAAGTGGTTCGTCCAAGATGGACGATGTACTGAAGTTAGTCGAAGAAAATCCTTATTTAGAGATATTTAATGATGATTCAGGGAAAGAAAAGGTTGGTGTGCATTTACAATAAGAAGTGCTTTAGATACTACTACATTAGAGGAGAAAAAAGCCTTGAAAATACGTTTAAAACTGGGCAGAAATGTCTGAACAATATGAGGCTTATTATATGTACAAAATAGCTTAAAATTAAATTTGAAAATTTGAAAATGCCGAACTCTTTTGTATTTCTGTCTTCTTTTTTTGGTGCTAAGTTGGAAGCGTAAAAGTGGGTATACTATAAGTTTTACAGCCTAGAATATAAGTTTCATGCCTCATTAGTATTACATGTGGTGGTAGACATGTGCTTAAATGTCCACCCCACCCACCCCCCTAGGGGCATCCATATTTTTAGCTTTAAAGGTATTGGCATTATAGTGATAGATCTTTCATAAAGATAGAAAAAGTCTAATTCAATCATTTTTGAGACAGCTTTTGGTTTACTTTTTGGCATAAATTTTGTATACTTTATGGGCTCCCTGTGTGCTGTGGGCTACCTGTGGCTTCAGATATTAAATAGCTTCCACCTTCTTCTACTGCCCTTAAATATGTACAAAGCTAAAGTTTCCTTAAAGAAACTTGCATTGCAAAGCATTAAGTATCACTGAAGAAAACCAAGTTGCTATAGGAACTAATAAAACCTGGGTTGCCACACAAACTACAAAATTTCGTTAATAATAATATCTTCCATTTACCTCTATTTGTGTCTCAATTCTTTAAGGTGAAATGTAAGCTGACTGGTCATCAGTTACCATGCCGATTATCGGACGTCGTCACTTATACCAAGGGTAAAAAGTATCAGAGGTTACTAAAGGGTTTGGCTGTGAACGACAAGGGACATGAAGAAACAGATGGCTGTTCTTTGGACAAGTATAAACAGTACTTAGTTCCAGCAGAAAAGAATAAGTATGTTCATTAATAAGGAAAAAGAGAATGGGATGGGTGACAGGAGATTGTTGGGAGACACAGGCCCAATTCTGGTGGCAGTACAAGCATTAATTCATCCTTGGGGGAACAGTAATATTAAGTGCTGGGCCATAGCCACAAATTTCTGATTGGTCCAGTTTTCAAGGGTTTTCGCTTTTTTTAATATTTTTAAAAATCTTGTAGTATATCACAGTACAGAGACATGTGCACACATTTCATATTCCTTAAACAAAACTTTTATGATCATATATATGGTTTTGTTGCTTCGTTTGATATAATTTCCAAGATTTCACTACGTCTAGGATTCTCAATTTAGTCTTTCCTCTTCAGGAATCAGTTGTATTGTAAAGTAACCAAAAAACTTATCAATGACATTCCTTATCATATCGAATTACATGTCAAAGGGAAAAGATTTCAGAGAGCACTAAAAACATATGAAGAAAGTAAGTCAAATTAACAAATATGACAGCTTTTTCCGTGCTGCGTTCGATTCAGTAATAAAGCAAGCAGGAAGTGAGGTAAGCACGAAAGAAGTGTAAGAAGAAACACGAGCCGTAAGTGAGTGCTTCTCACATTTCTTGAGTGCTTATGGCGCTTGGTAAGTGCTTTATTACTGAATCGAACGGAACACAGATAGGGCTGTTTTATTCATTTTATTCATTTTATTATTTTATTTCTTTTTTTTCCAGTATTGAATTGATTTGCGCAAAAAGAAAAACGGTTGCAGGATCTAGCAGCACTTCATGTGCTCGGATGGCTGCTCCATTCCCTAATAACCACAGTTTTCGACCAAACAGCACACGTGTACTATCCTAACTATATAACTGTTTTAGGGGACCCATTTTGGAAATATGTCCACTAAGACAGTCACACAGTGTACTACAAAGCCAGCTCAACTAAATCTTTTCATCAACCTTGGAATAGCTAATGAGTTGCCTTATTCTTTGACATGGGTTTAATTCAATAAATATATTGCAATTTCCTCTCAAAACACTGAAAATTGCATTTCTGAGAGCCTCAATTTCAAACTTTTCAGTATGGTGAGGGCATTTCCCTAGACCCCCCAGATTAGCTCTCCAATTAAAATTTTATACTCAGTGCTTAAAATAACAGCTGGCTTAAGTCACGGATCACAATAAGAGGCCAAATTAGTCTTAGCTCGGTCAAACCTCATTTCTGGCTTAACATTACTGTCAAAAAGATTTGACTGGAGAAGTTTGGATCTCTGGTTTCCTCCTTCCATAAAAATCAACATGTGAGTTGAGTGTTGTATGTTGTAAATATAGAATGTATTTGTAGTGCGTGTGGAGGGAACCTTATGGAACCTCATAGATGTTTGTGGAGTGGTGGTTGTAAAATATAAGTTAAATATAAGTCAAGTTCCAATTCTGGGCAGACATTGTCTGATGACAGGCCGTTATTTTAAGCTCTATTTTACCCCCTGAAAGGTTTAAAATGGGAAACTTCATATCAAAAGTTAAACACCGCTTTGTCAGTTTTTATTATTTCTACAATTTTCGTTTCTTGACTGTTTCATGTTGTTGTTCACAAGGTAAAAGTGATGAAACTCCAAATGAAGGTGAAGATGAGTTCAATGTATGGGAGCCGTCAGACAAAGAATCCACTCCTGAGCCAGACATTGATCCATTACCAGATAGTTTTGGTGAGGAGAGTGATGAAGATGAGGAGAAGATGGATGACAAGGATGGGAATGATGATGATGATGATGATGATGATGATGATGATGATGATGATGATGATTTTAATGAGCAAGACAAAAAGAAAGAATCCAATTCTAATGAGACAAATAAACAAAATGAAAAGAAAATGAAAGGTAAGGAAACATTTATTATGGCTTTAATTGGAGTAAAGCTGATTCTCATCCATCCATTAATCCCTCCCTCCCTCCCTCCCTCCCTTCTTCCATCCATACCGTTTATTCATAAACGCATCCTTTCATTCGCTCTTGACTTTAATATGTTACATAAAATTCAGTTTTCCGCATTTAAATTCCTAGGCAATAAAAATACAAATGCCAAAAACAAGTCATCTAACACAAGAAAGAGAAACCTTACGGTAAGAATATCTAAATGTCAAACAGTTATCATTTCGAAAAAGAAAAATTCGAGACTGTTTTCGCTCTTTCATAGGAAGAAGCCAGTGAACAGAAAGGAACCTCGAAGAAAGTAAAGAAACAATGTAAGAGTAAAGTTCCTTTGCGCAAAAACCTCAGAAGAAAAGCAAAAAAGTAGAGGATGTGAAAGTAATGAGACGTCTACGATATAGGTACATAAACAATAATCCAAGTCATCTAAACACTAGTGTTTTGTTTAACAAAACGAAGGACAATAGCTGACACTTGTTTGGTCCTTATTTGTGGAAGTCGTATATATATCTGTCATATTTAAACGCCTAATGCCTTATGCTAGAATGAATATAGACCTCTGAAAGCCAAATAGCGTAGCGGAGTGCTTCTCCTAACACTTCTCTCCTGTTCTGCCAACCCCCGCGTGCTTTATGACAGCACACAGCACGCGCTTTTTTTTTTTCAATTTCTTCAGTAGAGTTTTTTTTAGTTTCAGTACGGTCTCCTTTTATTCGAGGGTTTTCTTCACATATTCATCCCCAAAACTTATTTCGATTTGATCTGTGAGTTAGTCCTGCAGATAACTCCGGATCTTGTAGTTCCAGGGTTCGACAAAAAGTAAATCTTCTGGCTAGGGCGTCTGGTGATAACGATTAAAAGGCAGTTCAAGAACTGGATTTTTATTAATTCGTGATTCGTTTTTACATTATTCTGAGGAAGATTTTGCCAAAGACTCAAGTTCGGTGGCTCGTGATGAATTTTTATCACGCGATTAACTCACCCCACCCACACAAATCCCGGCATGTTGGATTGCAATTAGACTCTGTTCTTATGAAGTCATCAACATGGATTTCCGCAAGGTTCATCATTGGGACCGGGACTTAGGTCGCTGGGAATGGGGAATAGAATAACATCGTCATTGGATTTCTCCAAGGTTCATCACTGGGACCGATACTGTTTCAATAAAAATAGACCAGTTTCGAATTCCAAATTACCGCTGTGTTCCTTGATTACAGACTCATTTACACAGGGTTAGCCTCGAGTTTGTGCAGAATATTCACGTGTTCCAGTCAAGGTCCGTCGAGTTTCAAAGTGTTTGCACTGTTGAAGTTGTGCATTCTTTACTTTACCGTTGGTATTTGTGAATATTTAAACACTGATGCGAGGCTAACCCTGTGCAAATGAGTCTGTAATCAAGGAACACAGCGGTAATTTGGAATTCGAAACTGGTCTATTAAGACATTACATCGTTCGATGAACCTTCGACCTATATTTCTACCCATAAATTGTTTCTATTTGATTGTTAATTTGAATTCATTGACATTAAGATGCTCTTGTCTTGTTATCAAAAAGCCATCGCTTGGGTGCCGTCCACACCCAGTTGGCAAACCTTACCACTGCATAATCCTGAACCTTCTTGCAAAACTTGTTAGTTTGAAACATGTACTTGACTTTCCCAAGTTGTATAAGCCACCAGTCGAACCAGATAAAACGACAAAACGCGATAAGCAGAAGATGCAATGGACTGATGCAGCCTTGCCCACGTCGTCTGAGGTTGGCCAGGGCCTTTTCTCTCTCCTCACCTTTAGTCGTTAGCCTCATGTAGCTGGAACATCCCGGTGACAGCATGGTTGTGAACCAATCCCGAGGACTGTCTTTGAACAATTCCACCCAGCTCACACATCTACCGCTCTTAACTAAAATGTCATCTAAATATGTAAATGCTTCGACAAGGGTGGACAGCCGCTTGGAGGAATCTTTGAAGTAATTGGACCAGAACTCCGTATCTTTGTTGGTTTCGTTTACCAAGTCGCCGTTGTCTGGCAGATGAACGACGCCACTAAACACTCGAGCAGTGAGACATGACTGCACCTCGGAGAGGATAGGGATGGATCCGACAATCGGACGGACGTAGCCAATAAATGCTAAAGAAGGGTCTTCCACGTTGAAAATGAATTTATAATTGTTAATGAGAGGAACTTGGTATTTTGGCGGCAAGAAGGGGAACTCTGTGCGATAACCAGTACATTGTATTATAACGTCAACCTCGGCTTGCGTACCGTCACTTAAATAGATCTTCTTGCCCTCTGCGCCATCGATCGCTCCTTTATGGAAACAAATTATATAAGATTAAAGTTAGCATGTGAGATTAATGGTCACCATGTTGGTGGACCGTTGAAACATGTTTTGTTAGCTGATACACCAACATGGCCGCCATGTCTTTACATCCTAAGTGTACATGTGACTTCATCGCCTCCATGTTGGAGGAGAAATAGCAAAAGATTTGTCTGCCAACATGGCCGCCATGGCATGGTTTTTTTTCAAGCAGCCTGTACCTTTAGGCACGACATGTTTGTAATCGACCAAATCCAAAACGTGTCCGTTCTTGTTGATAAAGAAATGAAAAAACTCCGCTTCGTTTTTCCACTCGGGTATTCCATGACCCTGGTACGCGAGCAACGAGCCAGCAGTAGTCCAATGACACACCCACGCTAGACCTAGAGATGAAGACGAGGAACGAGGATTATTCAATAGAATAGAATCAAGATGTTTAATGGAAACAGTACAGAGGACAAAAAGAAGGAAGGAAGCAAGCAATCAAGCAACCAAGGAAGGAAGGAAGGAAGAAAGGAACGAAGGAACGAAGAAACGAAGGAACGAAGGAAGAAAGGAAGGAAGGAAGGAAGGAAGGAGGAAAAGAAGAGACGAACACGAAGGGAAAAAAGAATAGCTACCGAAATGAGGAAGAAAGAAAGAAAGCCTAAAAAAAACACCAACCTGGTTTTCCCTTGGTGTAGGGTGCAATGGTCTTAATTGCCCTTGAAGAAGCTTTATCCAAGGTTTGTGGTTTTCGGTTCGGCAGAATCTTTGAATACTTCCTGAAAAAATGCTGTCCACGTGGAATGCTCCAGATAATCTGCCCAGCTCCTCCCTCGTACCATTCTTCGACAATATCCGCCGCCGTCTCTCCACCTCCAACAATCATTACCCTCTTGCCTATGTGTTCAGGAATAAAGGACTTAAGAGTGCCAGAGTGCATGACTTCACCAGTGTAATCGCTGAACAGTGTATTCTCTAGCTCACGATTCGGTTTTTGATGAACACCAGCACACACCACAAGTTTGCTACCGATGTAAATGTTACCATCTTCACCAAGTACCTCCCAATTGTCACCAATCTTGTCAGCTTGTACCACTCCACAGCTGAGGACAATGTGAGGGTGTAGAGCAAAGGCATCGCAGAAATCATTAAGATACTTGTAGATCTGAGCATGTCGAGGGAACTCTCCCATTTCATCTGGCATTGGGAAATCAGAAATCTCCGTAACAGATGACGAAGACGTACACTGGGTTCTTTTCATTACCGTTAGGATGCTGGGATCGTCGGAGTAATTCCAGACGCCGCCTATCTCAGGCCGTTTCTCTAGTACTACCACAGATAGCTTCTCTTCTAACATGTATTTACAGGCTAACAAGCCAGACCATCCAGCACCGATGACCACAACCTCACGATGAACTCGAGACATTATTGATAACAACTGAAGTATAATAGACAAAAAGCTTCAGTAGAAAATTACTATCATCATCATCAATCATCATTATCATCATCATCATCATCGCCATCATCATCATCATCATCATCATCATCGCCATCATCATCATCGCCATCATCATCACCATCATCATCATCACCATCATCATCATCATCATCATCATCGCCATCATCATCATCATCGCCATCATCATCATCACCATCATCATCATCATCATCATCGCCATCATCATCATCATCATCGCCATCATCATCATCACCATCATCATCATCGCCATCATCATTATCAACAACGTCATCATCATCATTATCAACATCATCATCATCATTATCAACATATCATCACCACCACAATAATTATTGTTATTTTTAATATTATTTTAAAATATTAGTAGTAGTAGCAGTAGTAGTAGTGGTAGTGGTAGTAGCAGTAGTTGTAAGTTATTTATAGCATTTGAGTAAAAGACACTGATCCGATCCGTAAAGCTTATTATAATAGAGAGTTTTAGATTTACGTTCACGGCAAACGTGAAACGTCAGTTGACCAGTAAAAAACTCTTTTAAATTACTGAAAAAGAATCGCAAAAAAGTCCAAGTAGTAGAAAAACAAAAGAGTATTTGCGCTTGATGAGAAGGTTTGTAAAAGGTAAATTAAAATCCACGAAAACTATGAAAACGTGGTCACGTTTGCCGTTTGCGGGGAGAAAAAAAGTCAATTTAAAACTCTCTAATACCTCACCCCCTCCTCCCGCCTAACAAACACACGCTCCGCTTGCCTCATGACTGATTGGACGCGCAAGTACGATGCGTAACGTTAACTACTTCACCCCCATGCATGACAAAAAAAGTGTTGTCTATTTTATTTATGCACAGTTTCTAATTCCCTTTTCACCGCTCTACCTCTCAGTCCCACTCGACCGACATTCTTAGCTTACTTATGACGTACCACCTCATCTTAATGGCGTGATTTTTAAACACTCTCTGAATCCAATCAAATCTCGAAAGGACTGGACTTTGACAATCAAGCGATCCGAGCATGGCTTGTTCCTTTATTGTATCGAGTCTATAAGTTAATGATATCTAAAAATATAATGGTGACCTAGACACTATTGTAATAGTTGCCTATTTATTATTCTCTTTAGTTTATCGAAAAACTATTTATATTTTGTACGAAAAAAGCGATCTTGGTTGAGGATAGACAATAGACAAACAAAAAAGAAGACAAGAAAAGAGTAAAACATAAGCGAGTGATTGGGAGCAATCATTTTAATGCCTCCAAAATAATTTTAATGCCCCAAAAATGTAGCTAAATCAAAACTCAAATCATGTTATTGCTTGAGTGTTATCACATCATAATGGAGTGGCTTAACAATCTAATTGATATTTATTTAAAGCTTGGTATATCATTTTTCGGCTAGGTCATTGCAGAACTCTACTTTTATAAATATTGTTTACTATATTAAATTTAATGACTAAATCTAGAGATGTCTATATCGACATCCAACAAGCCGAACAGAACTGCAAAGCTTGTTTTAAACGTGCAGTTATCTAGCTACTTTGATACGACTAAGCTTGAACACAGTACTTAAGTTTACACACTGTTGACATCGCCAGAATGAGTTTTTTWATTTTATTTTTTACTCCAAGTCTTTTTACTCCAACTCGATTCATAGCTTGCTAAATTTAGATGATTTCAATTATTTTCACACAAAGAAGAATTTAAAGTTGCGTTAGTTTATAAGACTTACCTGAGGTTGCAGTAAAGGACTATGAACTAAGAACGATGAACGATACCGTTATGAGCATTTGGCAACTCAGGCACAAAGTCACTGATCACGAACCGACAAATTTCTTTTAAGTCCTATTGGTTGGCGAGTGACTAATGTATTCCTGTTTTAGCTTGTAGACTTCAAACACTATCTCAATCAAACAGAACTACATAACTATATAGCACTATAGTACTAAATAGCACTGACGAAACAATAGCAAACAATAGACATGACTTTTTTGTACTTTTTACTTATTTCACAGATTTAGTTTGCACTCTATAGTTGTATCAGGAATAAATCCTACACATGAATGAAATACCTCGGGCTCTCTGAACCTTGGAAATCCTTATGCTTACTAAAATTGAAATGCAAATGATTTTGTCTGGCTAAATCTGATGCCAAGCTATCTTTATTGAAAAAGTACTCTTGCTTTTGATTATATTCTTAGTTCCATAAAGAATCCTTTTTTTTTTATCATGTTGTCAACAGACAACTGCACAAAAACCACTATTACTATACTCACTGCGTGATTCAGTTGTAAGCCACTTTCTCTCCGCTGGTTTATGAATATTTATGATGACATTAGGAGGTCGAAAAGGGACTTTCAAATAGTACTATCCTCAACGTCGTAGTTCTCTCAAGAAAACTGAGCCTTTTTTGCTTCCAACACCAAGAAAAAAATATTAAATGTTTCGGTTTCGCTCTGATATTTATTAACAAGTGCTTTAATTATTTGAGATTTGTGTGATTCTACCAAACCTCGGTGTTTTGTTTGAAAGCTGTTCATGCGTGGATTGTTTTTTTTTTTAATACTTAGATTCCTGACGGAGTCCAGTTGATAGCTTAGCATAGCTTCCCCTTATTCACATCCACTTCCCTTCCTCGCCCCTTTTTCCCGTTCTGTTTTATATCGAGGTGTAACACGACCAACAAAGCTCACAGCCACCCCCTTTGAAATCGTTTTGGTGTCATCACGCAACGCTTCATTCAAAAAACAAATTTTCAAGATCGTCGGTTAGTATAATCTACATGTAAATTTTGTTTGCATTTTACATTGTATTCACTCTGTGTATATAGCATGTCATCATCATTATCGACATCGTGTATTATCATCACATATCATTCTGTATCAAAAACGTTCTATATCGCTATTGTCATGCATCATCATGATGCATCACTATCGTCATGTATCATCACAATCGTCATGTATCATCATCTTGCCATCATGTTGCATCGCTATCGTCATGTGTCATCACCATCATCTTGCCATCACTATCGTCATGTATCATGTTGCATCACTATCGTCATATATCGATCATCATCATCTTTAACGACACTATCAATGACAAAATTATGATTGCAAAATGCATAGCATGTCATATTTCCAATTTCTCAAAGTTTTCTTATCGCATGCATCGTAAATCAAAGTCCTCTGTGTTGGTGTTTCAGGGCGAATTTATTGGTATTTTGACGCCCTAAATGACAAGTTACACTATCTATATCACGCTTACACTTGAAGATTTGCTGACGAGATATTTACACTATCATTAGCAACTGACACTTGAGTATACAACTATTTACGTTGTGGAGGGGAAAAGATTCCTTAGTTTTCTTCTAGCTAAGAATCAAGCGTGCGTTTGGTTGGCAATCAATCTTGTACTGCCTTGAATATTTCACAAAACATGCTAGGATAAAATTCATATAGAGTGGAACATCCAACATGGCTGCCATCAATGGCCATGCAATGACCGCAAACCAAACCTCCAAAATTAACGTTAAATCGACTTCTGCTCAGGTCAAACGTCGAACTTCACATGAGCCGATTCTAATTGAAGCAATGGATAAAAAAGCGGTCTTTCTTGGTGTCATTAGGTTCGGCTCGTGTGAAGTCCAAAGTTATTTACATGAGCCTTAAAAATATAACTATTCAATATATATACAACATTTAACGGGAAAAACTAAATCTATACATCCATAAACCCTTAGAGTCGCTAGGCGCTTGTTTTTGATGTTTTCACATGCATTGATCAGTTAATCAGTTAATGTGATTCTTCGTGATCTACACCAAGTACCCGCATGAGCGATCGCACAGCCTGAAGGGGATCTTGCACTTTGTTCACATATTCCTGCCACATAGCGTATTCAGATTTTTTTCTTGCTTTGAAAGGAGTGTGGGATTTAAAAGGCGTGTGCTTGAAGGGAGTAGAGGCAGGGACGTTCTTGTAAGGTGTGCTTCGTGCCATCTTGGCCTTGATAACGCTTCTTCGTTTCTCGAGATTAGACTTGCGCGTAATAAGGTAGTGCGCACTCTTGATTTTATCCGTCATCTTGGGAGTATTCAGCATTTCCTTTAAAAAACGCAATAAATAGGTTAGTTTATTTGGGTAATTTAGCTTCGGTTACCCAACGGGCTGAGGGATATTTATTATGAAAGCCCAAACCTAAACGTCTCAAATTTGCCTCGATTTTGTCGCAGGAAAAATGGCGGTAAAGATGTTTAAAACAACCTCGTACTATTTTTGAAGGGTTTTAATGTTGTTGACGCGGCGTGGCTCGAATTCGTGCCCTTAAGAAACACTGTCAAACCTTGGATAATGTATTATAGGATTTTTCGAATTGTTAGCTTACTTTAAGAATGTTCTCATCACGACGTCCTAAAATTGTAAGCAGACAACAAGCTTTGGAGAAGATCTGCTCCTTCTCTCTGTAGATGGTAATGAGCTCCAGTAAAGTGGTTATGGAGTCTTGCTCTTCGTATACTGCACGATAAGTTGTGGGGCACTAGAATAAAAAGATCAGAAGCATAATCACACCATACTTAAGCCATTGATACTTAAACACTGAAGTTACATTTATTCTTCGTTGCACACGACTCATAGCCGCCATCTTGGTTGAAATTAACAAAAGGGTGTACTTAGATTGGAGCTTTGCTCTGTTGTATAATCCCTACCTCATTCGTGATTCTTTATTTTGTCTGTTTTGTATATTATTTTGTATATTATTATTATATCTTTGTTTGGAGGTAAAGCTTTGTAAATAAATAAATGAATAAAAGAATTGCCAAGAATTGCTTTTGTTATATCAAACAAAAAATTTAGTTACCTTGACTAAGTTGACGAGAATTGCTAAAGCATATTTTAATATTTCCATGTAAGGCAAACTGCGGTTAGAGCTTCTTATAACAGTGAATACCACTTTTAGTGCTTTATCTTTGACGAGCTGTTCACAGCACACGTATGACAACCGCGTCACAACCTCTGTAGAGAAAAGAATGATTACATCACTGAAAGTTTGTAACATCGCCCGTCTTATTTTGAAACCAAGGGGGAAGCGACTACAGAAGGGAGAGAAGAATGACAAAGAAAACCAACGAACAAGATCGCCAACAAAGATAAGGAAAAAACACGACACCAAGAACCATTAGAGGAAAGAGTACAACGACAAGAGGAGGAGAAAGACAACAAAGAACGACTGCTTATCATCGTGAACATCAACACCAGCAGAGATAAGGAGAAAGAATAAAACAAATAAAACTAAGATTGAGAAAACAAGAACATTCCACGGCGACGGAGATCCCCCACCCCCACCCCTCCTCCATTTGTGTCCCTCCCTGAGCTAGAACGCACTTAGGACCATTCAAGAGTAGATTACAACCAACTTACCCAAATTAACAAGAATGTCAAATATCGTAGTCAAGTTTTTACATCTCAGTAGGTAATCCAGTGCTGATCTTGTACGATTACATAGCTTCATGGACTCAGTTGCTGCTTTGTTTGCTGCTTTAATGCGCCTGCGCGCTGCCTTGATCTTCAAGCTGGTCACGCAACGACGAACTTGGTATCCACGCCACAATGCCTGTGAATTTGAGAAGTAAGTTTTAATGTGAAGAATTCTTTGAGGGGATTGAAAGTATTAATTATATTACCTGTATGCGTAGGGCCGCAGTATTCATCTTGTCAACAGTTCTCCTCGCCAGCCACACACGAGCAATAGCCTGGATTCTAGTCGCTGATCGATTCTTGAGTTCAAGCCTACGACGCGCTGTTCTTTGGATGAGGATGCAGGCTCTTCGCATGGCGATGAACCGACGACGTAGTAATGTAGCTCGCCACCAGCACTAAAACAACACGCACAAAGTAAGAATCGACACCGCAACCTTTTTGGAATTATTGTAATCTTTTGTTGTCCAGCCAGCACCTTTTTACATTATTACTTTATTTTACTTTAGTATTATTATTATTACATATTAATATATTCGATTTTGTATTATATAATTACCATTTCTCGTATAGTCTCAACAATATGAACTGAAACTTCACCTTCTTGTAATATGAAAAACGTCTTCATTTATGGTGACAATTTGGCACTGTAACAGCTCTTTTTTAAGGGATAGCGTAATGCCCTGTTCGTGCAAATGTCTGTTGTAGCTCGTTGGTTGTCAAGTTCTTATGATTATATAGGCAGCAGAAAAGTAGAGACGTTTTCCTCGAGTTTTAAAAGAAATAATGAATGGTATCCTTACTTGTATAGAAAGCACAGAGTTCATCTGCTTCTTGGCTAACGCTATAGCTCGTGCTTGCTTGAAAGCTCTTTGTATTTTGACAGCTGACAGATGGTGATATGCCGCGGCAGAGAATCTTAACAACCGTCTGCGCTGTTCTTCTTTCAATTGCTGTTGAAAAACCAGAAAAGAATTATCAATAATTGTATAAGAATGTCAAGAATATTGCTTTATGTGTCATTCGCATTTCACACAATTTTTTCTTCCTTCGTTTCTTTATCTTTGGAACACATAATTTCATTTTGAAATTAGTTGCAAGTACGAGCGAATATCTTTTTGGCACATTTAGCAAGTTCTCATGACAAGTACTCATACAGTTGCTTTCGTAAGATTGGTAAAGTATGCACGCGCCGTGCCGTGACCTAGCGTTTTTAATTGGTAATCTCGCGATAACCAATAAGCCTTTTCATAGTTTAAGAATCGATTCCACTGCGCATGCGATTTTATCCCGAATTTCTCACCTTCTTTTGTTTAATTAAGAACAAAAGAAGGTTTAGACAAAAGAAGGTGAGAAATTCGGGATAAAATCGCATGCGCAGTGGAATCGATTCTTAAACTATGAAAAGGCTTATTGGTTCAACAGATTTCATCACATGGGTGAGCGGCATGTGTCAATCAAATTTTACTTACTCATTTTGCAATGCTACAAAACTTACTTTCACTTGATTCCTAGCAATGTATCCTCTAAGATTCGCCTGGATGATTCTCGCAGCTCTGTGTAATCTCGCCTGCTTTCTTCCCTGGTAGCCTCTATAAGCAGCTTGTATAACTACCGCTGACCTCTTGGTAACAACGTACTGATGTCGCTGTGCTTTGCCTAGACAAAGCGCACGGAATCGCCTTTGGAGTATCTGTGCTGACCGTATTTCTTGTACATGTCTTCTCGCTTGGTATCCCCGGTAAAACGACTGAAGAGAGAAATGAAAAACGATGTTAGAGCGCGCTTTGGATCTACAAACCTTTTCGCTGTTGTATCACAGCGTGGGACAATCACAACAGAGCTAGGCTCCAAACTAGGTGAAAGCCCAAAGATCGAATTAGAATTTAGGAGTTGATTTTTGGAGTTGGATGTTCTTGGGACCTCGAGTCCCAGACAGTTTTAAGTCTGGGTATTTGTCTTCCGTCGATGGAAAAATTACAAAGTCGACCAATGTAGGTTTGATACATGGAATGAAGGACCTTGAGAAGTGGTACTAAACATAAGACTCTCTCACAGTGTCATAAAACTCTCTCGCACACAAGTTTGGTTTTGTTGTCAGCTTGCCATGTCACCGTGTCGTAAATATTATAATATATGAAGTTTTCTTTAAATCATTTGGGATTCCTCACCTGAATGGTAAGTGCAGCGCTTTTAACATGAGCGTAATCTCTGCGTACAACTCGTCCAAGGCATAGCGCACGATATCGCTTCTGCAAAACCATCACTGACTCTCTTCTTCTCTTGTACTCCATCCTCGCTAGGTACATCTTCGCAACTGACTGAATCGTTACAATGGATTTTAATGTCTGTTGGTATCTTTTCCTCGTCATATTTCCTCTCCAATAAGCCTGGATCTTGGTTATTGCTGTCTTGGTCTGTTGGTAGTTCTGTCGGTCTTCGCGCATCTTAAGCACTGCTCTGTATCGCTGCTGGCATACCACAACGGCATTTTTCAATCTCAGGTAGCTTACACGTGCCTGACGACACCGCACCAACGCTTGAATACTGATGATGGACTCACGTGCAAGATTGTATGATCTCCTAGCAACAAGACCACGATAGTATGCCTGTATCTTTAGTGCAGCCTTTACCCTGTGTGCGTATTTCCTGGCAACATATCCACGATAGACTGACTGTATCGTTATGATTGCCCCTCGGGTACAATGGTAGCGAAGATAAAAGTAGCGCATCTCAAGATATCCTCGGTAATATCGCTGTATTTTCGTAGCTGCTTCGTTGGCCTCTTGTCTTTCTCGTTTTATCTGATCTACTCGTTTGCGCGCAGCCATACCTCTACGTAAAGACTGCAGAAGAATTACTTTCTCTCGAAGGGTCGTATAATGCCCCCTTTGATCCCTGCATTGTTTGTTCGCACGGAAAAATGCTTGACAAGCCAGTGCAGCTGATTTCAGCCTTGTGAATTCAACACTATTTTTTCTCATCCTCACATACACTTGAATCTTGACAACTGCTTCCTTGGTTAGCAAGAAGTTCCTGCGAACAACATACATCTTGTAGTAAGATTGGATGGTTCTTGCAGCGCGCATCTCGACAACCAGCTGTCTTGCCTTGATTCCCCTGAACACAGACTGCATGACTATCGCGGCATTCTTTAATCTTATATATTCCTGTCTTTGCTCTTTCGCAGCGACATTGAATCTGTAATTTCTCTGGAGGCAAATCGTCGCTTTCCTTAAAGCGATATAGTGGTTTCTAGCTTGCAGACAACGTACCATGGATTGGATCACGATAGCAGAATTCTTTACTATCAAGTACTTGCTGCGTTCCACTTTCATTGACTTCTGCGCTCTATATCTTGTCTGCAAAGTAACAACAGCTTGGCGTATTTCTTCAAACTGTCCAACTGCTATCATCCTACGTACATTCGCTTGAATCATCACAACAGATCTTCTGATGTTCAAGAATTCTTTACAACATACATAGCTTCTATAAGTCGCTTGAATCGTCACAGCAGCGCGAATTCTTTCAAACTCTTTTCTTGCTTTGTATCCTCTGTAACTCTTCTGGATTACCAACGTTGCAGACTGTAATGCCCTGTAATTTCTCTGTACAGCCCTTCCCAGAAGAACTGATCGATATCGGAGCTGGATGGTGAGAGCGGCCGCTTTCAGCGCCTTGTAACGTCGACGTTCTTGAACCATACGAACGAGACTCTGTATTTGGATAACTTTATGTCGATACTCCAGGTAAAATTTTCTTGATGCGTACATTCTGTAGGACGCTTGGATCTTTCGTGCTGCCCGGTATTCTCTTGCATACTTTCTTGCTATCATTCCCCGTGCAAAGGCCTGAATAGTGCGTGCTGCATCCCTCAACATTTCGTACTTTATTTTCTGCTCTCTTCCTATTTTCATGGCTCTGTATCTTCTTTGTATTGTGATGGCAGCAGCTTTAATCGCGAGGAGCTTGGTTCTTGCGAAATGTCGTCGTACAGCTGATTGTATAACAATACAAGCCCCGCGTTGAATGTGATACCACATGTACTGCTTCAAGAGAAGCATATTAGCCCGATGCTTTTGTTGCAGGAAAATCGTTRCTCGCTTCAGGTTTCTGTAATATCTCACGGCTAGGAAGCAACGCGCGGCAGCCTGGATACAAATGATAGCCTTTCTGGTCGAGATATATTTATTCCTGGCCAGAAAACCTCGATAGGCTGACTGGATTTTTACAACAGACTTAATGCGCTTGACATTTCTTCTCGCTTGGCGTCCCCGGAAAATGGACTGGATAACGACAGCCGCATTTCTCAATGCGCGATACTTGTTAGCTTGTTCTTGTCCTAACATGAAAGCCTTGTAATAAATTTGAATTTTGACAACAGCCTGTTTTATGGCTTGATATTTCTTTCGTGCAGAGAATGCTCGGTAGTACGCTTGAATACCAACTGCAGCTTGATTCATTTGCCTTACATCACGTCGAGCAAGATAACCACGTAGTGCAGACTGAAGGCATACGACGGCTTTGAGTCTCTTGTAGAGTTTCCTTGCTTGGTATCCTCTGAATGCTGCTTGCAGATTAAGAACAGCAGCTTTTGTAGTCTTGTATTTCTGTTCTTCTATTCTACGCATCTGAATCGCTCTGTACCAACACTGGATTGCAATGGACGCTTTCCTTGTGCTTAGGTAAGCTGATCTTTGAGCGTAGCCACGATAAGCAGTCTGGATGATCAGCGCAGCACGAGTCTGTATACAGATCATTCTCCTGACTCTATAGCCTCTTAAAGCGGATTGAATAACTATAGCACTAGATCGTACCACCCCATAACGTTCTCTCTGTGCTTTCCCTTCTTGTGATGCCCTGAAACGCCTCTGAATGACTATGGTGGCTTGTTTTAGATTGTTGTACCTTGACTTATCTACATAGCATCTAAAGTAGGCTTGGACTATGACAGCCGCTTCGTGCTTCCTGCGAATGTCCTTTCTCACCTCCATACCTCTAAAATAGGCTTGGATGACCAATACACTAGCTCGTATATTCTGGTAGCGACACCTCTCTACTTTACCACCCCTTACAGCTCTGTAACGAGTCTGCAAGACGAGACAAGCTTTCTTCATTCTGTCGTAGTGGTCTTTCTGCGCATGACATCTGTACATGGCTTGGATAGTTGTCGCTGCAAAATGTTGGTGTTTAATGCTCTGTCGTACGAGAAAACCCCTGACAGCCGCCTGAATTGTTATCATTGCTCCTCTTTGGATATGGTACATCAAACGTACTTGTCTCCCTTTCTTGGCAGCCAAATATCTTCTCTGTAAGACAATAGTAGAGTTCTTTAGCTTGAGGAACTTCTTTTTCTCACGGTAGCCGCGGAAACGAGCTTGAATTAGAACCGCAGCCGTCTTGGTCTTCAAGAAAGACTTCCTATATTGGTGTCTTCTGTAGAATGCTTGGATAGCTATGGCGGCAGACTTTTGTCTTATGTAAGCGGAGCGCACTCGTTTCATCAGCAGAGAGTTTCTGTACTGTTGCTGTATGATAATAGCCGAGTGTCGAAGTTTCCTGTAGCGTGACTCAGCAATAACCTTTCTTATTGAAGCTTGAATCTTAATGGTTGAGTTCTTCGTCATCAAAAATCTCTTCCTTGCTGAATTCCTTCGCTGCAATGCTTGTATATTCACGCAACAGCATCTCATCCTTTTGTAGCTCTCTCTCTGTTCACGACCAATCCTATAAGCTCTGTATCGATTCTCTATCAATTGCGCTGCAGTCTTCTGTTCAGCGTAACGCTTTTGAGCCAAGTATTTTCTCGTCACAGCCTGGATCTTTATAATCGCGTCTCGTTGCTTCAGGTAGACACTACGTTGCTTCGACATCCTGAAATTTTTCTGGATTGCAATAGCAGCTCGAGTTTTCTTGACTTGAACCCTGGCTCGATAGCCGTGGTAAAATGCTTGAATAGTTATTACAGCATTTCTTGTGCACTGGAACTTTTGTCTTTCTTCATTTCCAGACTTGAATGCTCGGAAATGGCTTTGAATTATGACAGCAGAGCATCTCAATCGTAAGTAGTTCTTCCTCTGCCTTGCTCCTTTTGATAACTTCTGGCACAACACGTTAGCCTTCTGTATTCGAAGAAACCGCGCCCTGTCCTTGTGGCATCTCCACATAGATTGTATCTTAACAGCAGCTCGTATCTTTTTCATCATTTTCCTACATTGCTGTCCTCGTGTCCACGCTTGCATGGATACAACTGCTTTCCTATAGCGAAGATAGTCCGCTCTTTCGCGGCACATGTATCTAGTGGCTCGGAACTTTGCTTGGATTATTCTTGCAGCTTTGTGCTGGAGTTGTAATTGATGGCGAGTTGAGTATCCTCGATTAGCTGACTGGATAACGAGGGCTGCTTTCTTGAGGTTGATGAATCTGCGACGAACTATTGCACCTCTTGCGCATGCCTGGGGAAAATAAGGATCATACATTTATTTTATTAGCTAAGGAAGGAAAAAATGGAAGAGAAACAGGATGGTAAGAACGCGGGAATAAGAGGGAAGAAGAATACATGGACGGGTAGGAGAAGGAAGGGAAAGAGGAATGTCGGTAGAAAGGATATGGAATAAGTTAAACATTAAGAGAAAAATACCATATAACCCTGGTGGGACTCGAACCGATGTGTTCACCCCTACATATCAAGGAAGGAAGTATAATATGAAAGGAAGAAAAAAGAATATCATATCTACCTGAGCCACAACAACAACATTACTCAAAACCATTCGTCTCTTTAACTCTTTTCTCAGCAGATATTTCTTCCAAGCAACTTGAATCGTACGAGCAGCTCTTGTCTCTTCTCTTAGATCCAGCAACCGAGCACAGAGGTATGACGTGTAAGTAATAACCACCTAATAAAATGCCAAATATTGGACACTAAATTTAAAATACAGCTTTAACAAAAAACAGTTGGTAGTTTTTGTTGCTTCATGTTAACGAGCCAAAACTGCTCTATGGGAGATGTGAATGCAAGCAATCAGTGTAAGGTCACAAAGATATGGACGACTCTCTGAAAATTCCCAAACGTCGTCTGCGCTTTTTTTTCCAGAATATTTTCTTCTGTGCTGGCATTATTTACATTCAGCATTTTAACACAAGTGAATATAATAAAACCGGCGCGCTCATTGGTCCAGATTTACGTCTTGTGCTGTTAAATGCACCTACAGGTGAACGCGCGCGCACTCGAAATGGGGTCGTCCTTCACGAATTTGCCAGATGTGATCCTATTGGAGGACACACATGTGTAGAACAATAGAAAACAATGACCTTTTCCCAACCCCGCCCCTAAACCTAACCAATCGCAGAGATAAAGATTTTTTTTTAAAAACCCTGTCTCTGTTATGTATGTATTAATTTCAGTTGTGCTAAAAATACTAAAACAATTATTTGCCTCAGGCTCAGTGAATATCGGGGACACCTTCACCTAACTTTTTTTAAAACAGCTGTCATGATAAGAAAGAAAAGTCACACGTCGAGAAAATAAGGTTTTATCTTCAGAATAATCTATTCTAAACAATTAATTTTTTTTCTAACCTTTTCGTCAGGAATCGTGTTTGACATGTCTGCAAATTTGGCCATCAGTGGAATACCTCCAAGAGCTTGAACCTGCAGAAGATAAAGATTTGTTATTGGAATTGAAGAATATATGGTCAGGATTAATTAAAGTTCTATCTAGAACAACCGTCTAAAAAATCTCTGTGGTAAGTAAGCTTATTTTATGTTATAGACTTTGAGTTAACTTGGTCTTTCTGCTAGAAAAATTGTTTGAAATTTTAGTTAATTAAGTAAGAAATATTTCTGAACGGAGAAGGAAGGGGGAGGGAAAAATGAGTAATCCTTTCGAAGCATATTGTACGTTACCGTTTCAGCGAGAAGTTTGAAGTTTTGTCTTTCGTTTTCCTTAAGTTTCTCAATCTCGGGGTTTCTACCAGAACCTGGAATTAACCAAGAAACAAAATCTTAAATCTCCGCAAAATTCTAAAATAATTTTAGACAATCTTGATTTTTTTTCCTATTTTATTTTTTTATAAAAAAAGAGGAAAAAAAACCAGTATAAATATGATGATTTCCAATAAGGCCTACTTTCACTCACACACACTACCACTACATTCAATATCCTATGCGCAGTCAACTCTCGACTAACCTGGACTGTAGCTGCCGACCCAAGAGTCAGTAATGATGCCTTCCTCTTCTTCGCTATCACTGTTGTCGTGTACCCCCGGATTTCTAGTCAAAGTAGTCTCTTGTTTTATCGAGTCCAGGGGGAGTAGGTTAGGGTGGTAATAGTGCAGCAAGTAGCATAAGGCTCGGCCATCGGAAAATGAAACAGTGAAGTTTTCAACCTGGAAAAAAGGAAAAAAGGAAATATTTCTTCATCATTTTTGTTTTCCTTAGAGTGCAAAGATTTCGCAAATCCAATTTTTCCATAGATTACTACGGATTTCATTGAAGTGTGGCACGTATTAAAAAATTCGTCTCCGCCCACTTGGAGGTGTGATTTTGTCTGCATTCCTTTCTCGGTTATTCCCGTGCAACGTTCAATTCGAAATTATGGCGGCGAGTAGAAGGTTCGAGTCCAAAGTTGAGTATGGAGGCGGGGGAAGTTTTCGAGCAATTTCTGCAAATTTTCCAGGAAAGAATCATGTTATGATATCCCCACCCCTTTGAACTTTCGACCAAGTTCACTTATGTTCATTGTGCATTTCACGAGAAAGGAATGCAGACAAAATCACACCTCCAAGTGAGCAGAGTCACAGCGTCTCGTAGTCAAATTCGCAGACGAATTTTTTAATGCGTGCCACACTTCAATGAAATCCGTAGTAAATTATGGCGCTTCCACAGTCTTTGTAGCGTTTCAATTACGAATCACTGGAATTTTGACGTCAAAGTTCCCAAAGCTAAGCACTGTGATTGGCTGACCGCATCTGACACCAGCCAATACGATTTGGTGGAACATATATATTCGTTTGAGCACCAAGTACCCACTCACAAAAAATTTCTTATGTACGAACCTTCATCCCGAACAACTTGCAAACATGTCTGCACCACTTTAACAGGAGGCTAAGACGAGGTGACTTGAAATAGATGTTGTTCTCGAGGGATTCCCGTTTGCTTCGAGGCAGCCCAAGTATTTTAGACCCATCTACTGTTATTGTGTCCAGACGGTTCTGGAGCTCCTGGTTCTGGTCTAAAAAAGAAATCTCCTCTTGAAGCTGCTTCTCATTTAGCAGAATGTTTACCTTGAGGAAATACGGAAAGAAAATCAGAAGCATTTTCTACATCATTCGCGGATTGGCAGGTAGCAAAAATGGAATCAAATTCTTTGAAATGCAATAGCGTTGCCTCAGCAATGGTGCAAGCAGTGCACAACTTTCTGCAGTAGATATAAGGAGTACTTTTCTCGTGGCAAAAATCGTTGCATCATGACATTTGCCTTCATAATTTTTCAAAGATGTAATTTTTATTTTCAAAGAGTAATTTTTACCTGGAAGTTGAAAATGATGAGCCAAAGTAGCTGAAGTGTCTTCTCTCGGTGTCCATCAACGATGTGACGTGGGTTGATACCACTGTCTGCTCAGGGATTAGGAAAACACATTTAGTGGAGAGATGTTTTGGTTTCATATTGTATCTATCATTCAATCCAATTATATTTCCATCCATTCATCCACCCTAATCTGTCAATCCATCTATCCCTCTGTCCCATCCACACCCTGTTCCATCCATCCATTTGTCCATCCCATTTAATCTAATCTCATCCATACACGCATCCCATCCATTCATTACCTGTTCCTTCTCCAACTGGGACATTGCGGTCTCTCAGCGCCTTCATAAAAACTTCAACATTATGGATTTTCTGTAGAAAAAAAAATCATCAAAACAGGACTTAAAGACAAAGTGCACATATATCTGACAATCAAATGGCAGCAACTATAGAACCTTACCTGTAGCCTGGATATGGCGGGAACTCGAAGACTCTGTGTCAGCTGCCAATTGTGTGTTAAAAGCTCCACAACACGCCTATGAAAATATCGCGTATGTTGAGGTCAATTCATGTTATTTGGATGAGATAATTTGGGCAACATTGTGCAATATTTCGCCTTGCAAGTATAATGCAGAGAAAATGTTTGTCGTTTTACCATGGAGTTGCTATTCTGCAGATAAAAGAAATCTCCTACTTTATGCAACTAATGCATCATAATCTTGTGTATTCACTTTGCAGCTCGTAACGCAAGTGCTTGATACGTTTTCACGACATTAGTGCCCGTTATTCCCCCCATCTTATCAAAGAACAGTCCATATTTTGTTCACTTACGTGAGTCTTAGACCATCTCTCAAGTCTGTGGCAATATTGGTTACAGCGTAATTAAATTCATCAATTGGACGCTGGAAAAAATAAGTAGAAAATAATGAGAAGCTTTTGGAAGTAAAGTATATAAACTAACAAAACTTTATTTAAAAAATTAATCTTTAAAAAATAGTGCAGCACGCCAGCAAATGAAGAAATCCTTCTCTAATATAAGAAATACTAATTCCGAAACTTTGAATTTTCATTTGTTTAAACTTAAGTTGCGTTTGGAATCATTGCGCTATGTACTCAGATGAAAGAGTGTAGTTGTGCAAACACTCTCAAAAATGATATCAGAAGTGATGTTACACTAGACGATTTTTAGCGTAACATTTTTGAGTTAAAAGTTTGCCTCGTGTTTTATGGCGCGCGCGGGAACACAAATCGATCGCAACAATTTTGAGACTTTTAAAGGTCGTTTAAAAACCTGCAACATGCCACAGTGCCGCAACAAAACATCGTTCCAAATCGAGACTGCGCGCTATGCTACGTGAGAATAGTTTTCGCGCAAGGTTGTTGAGCAAAAAATCGTTCTTTACAGACACTCCATGTATGCAGGTCATTACAGAGAGTTTTCAACAGTACCTGTTCGTGATTAACGGAAAATCCGAGGTAGCTAAGATGCTTGGTGATGTCACCTTCGCCCTTCAAATATTCTCTCGAAAACGTCAGCAAAAGACTTCGACTTGACTGAAATAAAAGTGAACAATTCTAAGACGTAGCTAATAAACTTTGAGCTTTAGAACAAAGAACACGCATTGTCACCATTCTTTAAGGCAGTGAAGTATAGCGCAAGGCTTCATTTTGAATGTGTTGCGTATGGGAAGCACTCAACTTTCAGCGGAATATTTAAAATACATTCTTAACTTATTCTCATGAACTTTATTCATTTTCAAATTTTTGTTTTTTTTTTGGTTTTTTTTAGTCTTTAGTTTTCCTTTTATTAAGCTTACTAGTTTACGAGAAAAGAACGTTGTAGGACACGAAATGTACCTTATACTCAGCATTTTTGACAAAGAGACACGGATCATGATCGATGAGCCTCGTGAGTTTCGCACGGTCAAGAAACAGAACAAGGAACAAAAACTTCTTGAGCGTAAATTTGGCGAGTTGTTCGACATATCCCTCTCGGTAGAGCCCCGGTACTGAAGAATGGGCATATGTCCTGGCAATGTCTGGGTTGCCTAGTAACCGGTCAGACACAAATTTGGCCAATCCTTGGACGTCACTGTTCGTTTGTATTGGCATTATCTCGCCAAATATTGTCTGGAATAAACACAGATTTCGTTCATCAGTTCATTATGAGATGGGAATTTTTATTTTTGTTTACGGAAATCCCATTTGTTTCAGCTTTCCATTCACTCATTTAAGCATTCTTTCTTTCTTTCTTTCTTTCATTCATTTGTTCATACAATACTTCATTCATTTGCTAGTGAACAAAGAAATAAGATTAAGACTTAAGTAATGTCATACCAGAAGCATTCCTAGTAAGAAATGAAATAATTCTCAAGAGAATGGCATATGGACTGGAATGAAAACCTTAACAGTTTAACATCTAACTCACCTCCAGACCAATCCTAAGCCACAAAGGATTGTAAGAAAGAATTATCTCAATTACATTATTCTTGATGCCTGAAATGCAATGAAAGATTCAGGAAAAAGATAAGATCAAACCCTGAAACAACCTCTGGGCTGATCTAAGTCAGGGCATGGCTAACTCACAGATCAAAACCTGAAACAACCCCTGGGCTGATCTAAGTCAGGGCACAGCTAACTTACATATCTAACCCTGAAACAACCCCTGGGCTGATCTAAGTCAGGGCACANCTGGGCTGATCTAAGTCAGGGCACAGCTAACTTACATATCTAACCCTGAAACACTCTCTGGGCTGATCTAAGTCAGGGCACGGCTAACTCACAGATAGAACCCTGAAACAACCTCTGGGCTGATCTAAGTCAGGGCATGGCTAACTCACCCAAGTCAGCATGCATCTTCTTGTCCGGTCTGATTGCCATTCGACCCTCTTCTACTTCTGCTTCAATCTTTCTCAAGACACAAATCACTGGCTCTGATTGGTAGAGCAAACATGCCAACCTACGAAGGCGGGACATCTTGCGACGGGCTGTATAAGCTTTGATTGACAGCTCCTCTTTACTTGGTGCTTTAGGTTGTGAAGATTCCATTGATTTTGTTCCTGTTAAGAGCATGGTGCTTTGGTCTGCAATAACATTGAAATAGAGAATTTTTGGTTACTTTTTGAACATATCAACTAATTTAATTTGCTTGGGTTTCCTGTGGAAATATAAAAACCACAGGTAGCCCATATCCTATACAGTGCTGTATTTTGATTTGGACCTTTTTGCAATATGATTTATCTTGGTTTAAACAAACCTTTCTTGTTGTTACTCTTTGATGTTATTTCGCAGTCATCTGGAGGAGTCAGAATATAGTTCAACCATCGTGTGAATCCTACCAAATAAATAATGATAATTATTAATATCTTAATAGATTAATCAATAAGGAAAAGCTATTAATCTCCTTGACCTTGATCACATGGTTCCATAATTAATCCCATGAGAATAAAAGCTTTTGTTTATATAGCCCTGCATAACTTCATCCTTAAATACTTCAATGCAAAACTACACCTGTACACGGGAAATCTATTGTTATAATAATAATTTAATATTTCTATTGCACATGTTCCATTAGGAGATGATCCCAGGTGTATTCATGGCTGTGTGTGAAAATTAAGGTCTACATTGTCCTTCCTTTACTAATGAAAAGAGTCCCCTTCACAGATCCCTTTGCCATTTTGAAAGTTACCCTGCCTGTGTAACAAAGCAAAGATGGTAGACAAGGTCATTGCCATTCTTGCTTTCATAGAGCAAGGACCTGTAAAGAGGTCTGACTATTCATTATAAATCATTTACGAACCTTCTTCTTGTTTGTCAATCCACCGTTCATCATAATACATGTTCTTTGCAGCAAACGGCATTGGGTGACGTGGTATGCTAATCTTCGGAGGTCGTACAAGTTTCAGTTTAGTGGGTGCAACACCACGAGATGCGACTTTTAGTTTGACCTTTCTGATTTTCTTGTGAGGTGAAGATGCTGTTAATAAATTAACCTTAAATTAATTAAGTTAATCCAATTAATTCAGTTTAATTATACAGCTTCTCATTAATCCCATATAGGTAACTATCCCATTATTTTCTTAGTTGGACAGGTCTGTTGATATGGTATTAATTAGGCAGCTATATAATTAATAGGTAATGGGATTTCATGCTCCCCGATCAAGAAATAATTAGACTCAAAAAATTCCTCTGACTGCCAAATTGTCAGTCCTTGGAATTTTCCTTGTCCAATTATTTCTTAATTGGACAGCATGGAGTCCTATTACATATACAAATTGGTATATTTTCTTCTCACTAATACTCTACCCTGACAAGATAATATTTATCATATAATAGGTATATTTTTATCAAAACAAACAATTACCACTAGTTGTCTGTAAACTTGATTTTTTCTGGTGATTCTTTGGTTTCRGCTTTTCTTTTTTGGTGGTTGGTTCAACAGAAAAGGCTACAGGTTTTGCTCCAGCTTTATCTTCTTTCGTGATTACATAATCAGCCTTCTTTTTCACTAACTCAACATTTCTTTTTGCAGCCGGGGAAGAGATTTTGGGCTTGACAGATGGTTTTTGTTCTTGTTTGTTATCCAACTTGTTACGATCCAGCTGGCTGATTTGTTCTATGAATTGCTTGAACACTTGCCCTTTGTCTGTATCAATAGTCTTCCACTTAGCGCGTGCTGCTTTTTGTTCTTTTCTTTCCTCATATTCTTTTTTATTCTTTAATTTGTTCATATCAACATCCTTTTCTTCAGTTCGTAGAAGCTCATGTTCTTTCTTAGAAGTAAGAACACTTGCACATGGATGACTCTTTACCCCATTCTCTGGAGGTTCATTTTGCTTGCATTCTTTGTCGCTCTTTGAATTATTCACATCGACATCCTTCTCTCCAGCCCTTATATTAACCTCAGGTCCCTCGTAAGTACTAGCTTTACTTACAGTTGGAGCACTCTTAACAACATAAGTCTCTCTCCTTTCATCAGTACTTCCTTCTAAAACATCTTCTTCAACTTCAGGTAATGTTTTATCAAATTCATGGTTGCACACTGCCTTTTCTTGTCTCTGTTTTACATCTTTAGTGACAACAGAAAACTTTGAGCGCTTGAAGGACTTTTTTACTTGGATGGTGTTTAGAGACTGGCTCAGCCCAAGCACAGATGGCCTTTTCTGTAAATATAAATTAAAAATCGTTTAGATTTTTCTCCTGGGATGATATTCCTTGCACACATCCGCTCATTATCTGTCTTGATCTCGCCTTATCAAGAGTTTTACATAATTTTTCCTAACATTTCAAATGTTTACAGAAAATCAGCTGTCATTTCTACACAGTCACAAAAAAACGCTAATTTATTCACGTTGATTGAGATGTTGATTTTTAAACGTAACGGAAACGAACGGGAACAACATGTTTTTGACTAAAGATATTCAGACCTTAGAAAAATCTAATTACTCTAATAAATTTTCGTGAATAAAACAACACTTATCTTTGTATGTATAACTTACCTTTTTGCTTTTTAGATCTACTGCAGTTCCGATCAAAATAGTCTGAAGTCTATGCGTTTCGTTCCATTTAAAAATGATCATCTCTCGATATTTTCCTGGTTCTTTAGGCTCCCATTTGACTGGTAAAACGATTTCTTCATCAGCTTCGATCATCAAGATTGAACTTCCAAGTTCATTTTCACGAAATCCTGATAACTCTACAGAGAAACCACTTTTGCTTGGACATTTTTCAACACGGAGAGTTTGTGGTGTTGGATTTGGATTCCAAACCACTAGTTCTTCCGTCTTTGAAGATCCAAGCTTGACACTGTTGAACAACACTCTTGGAGTCTTCTCAAAGTGCGTTAGTTTTAGTATCGGGAGGTAATCATCGGGTGAGTTTGGCTGCTTAGGTCGTGGGGAATTACAAGGACTATACCATTGGCCTCTCTTGCTCTTCACTGATGAAGGCAACGACGACTTCAGCGTCTCGGAGAGAAGCGATAAATTAGGAACGATATTTTCCTTGTGGATCGAGGAAATAACACTAGACTCATCCATGTCTAGATTTAGTTTTTCCTACACATCGATGAAACTTAGCGATAAAAAATAAAAAATAAAAAAGACGGGTAAAAAACACAGAAGATCTTCAATCAGCTTCGAACAACTCGTTCTGATCTTTCGATCATCACATGTGAATTTTTGAAAATACCACGGTTATTGAGTCGACCAATCAGATCGTACCATCAGTTTGAATCTAACCAATAGGAAACGAAGATTAGAAAAACACAGGAAGCCCGATTTGATAAAACTGCAGATAAAAGAACTTTCGAATAATTTATTTATCTAGATTTTTTTTTAACCTTTCAACACATGTCAAAAAGGGAAACTTGCTGTCGAAGTGTCTCTTCTTTTTTTATTTTTTACAGGGCTGCCAGCCCTGAAGTATACGCGGGTGAGAGAGACATTACAGCTTGTACAATTACAGTATTACTTCTGAAATTGTGGAGCCAACATTTGAAAATGTCACGAAATAGTTGATATACGAGGCTAAAAATGCTTCGATCATTGCCATCTTGTAGAAAGGGTTTGTGACAGGCATTCGTAATGGAAGTGCAATTACAGACCTTGGAGTGAACATAACATGGGCGATAAGAGGAATGCAGAACCTGGCAGCCCTTGCCATACCAGCTAAACTACTACACAATTTACACTCTTCAGTATTTTTGGAAACTGCATAAATTGATACTTTCCTCAGACCCTCTCCACCCTTTGAAAATCTCATTCCCCTCTCCATTGGCTGTGGGGGGAGGGGGGGGGGTATGGATATTTTCTGGAACTGGACAATATACCCTCCTCAGACCCCACCCATATGTGGTATTAATGACATTAAAAATTATGGCTCAAACACCCTTTTCTCATAACTGGTCTCTCCGATAACTGGTCTCTAGATAGATAGATAGATAGATAGATGCTTTATTTAGACACRGTAGACTCTTCAGGATTTACAATTAGTATAATACTAATATTACTTAATTCTATTTAAAACGTATACTAAGCTAACTACAAGTTAATTAACTAAAGACTAATAATAATACAATATAATTACATAATAAAAAGAGTACCTGCTTTCCAAGAGTGCCGTGTTTACTACGTGTATGAAATTCAATTGAAGAAGTTGCTGCAGCCTATTCGAAATTCGCCCCATGTAATGGAATCAGGACTTATGGTGGATTCCGGATTCCAAGGGTCTGGATTCCGGATTCCAAAACTTTTGTATTGCGGATTCCGGATTCCATACCGTTAATTTTCAGATACTTTCTCTGAAAATTATATTTGATATACTTGCCAGTATAAGTAGAATCGTCTATCAATTCTTGGTTTTCACCTACGTCATCATGAATTTCAAAAGCTTAAATTCGCATTATAATGAAATAAAAGTTTTATATTCTTGCAAAGCGGTCCAAACTACATATACTGGCCAAATTTTAAGGCTGTAAAGCATTTCGTGGCGGAACTATAGGCAAGTAAACATGACGCAATTTTTGGTTAAAATGTATGGAGCGGCCATCTTGGTGTTCCAAGTTGGTACACCATCATGGCGGACGAAATTCCAAAGG